TTTCATGTATGTATATGCAAAACGTATAGATGTGTCGATATGTGCAAAATTCCCACATGTGGAAAGACATCGGCGATTCCTAGTGTACACATGTAGAATAATACAGTGCCATTCTGTATAGCCGCTTGTAGTCACAGATATAATAGCAATAATGAAGACCAAAAATTGTCTAGCGACTTATTATCTGAATCTCGAAGATTATGTGATATCGTAACGTGCTTTGGATCAATTTCCATGTTGCCACGATAACATTTTGACGAACCAATGACCATTTGGCATTCTCATGGCAAGTGGTAAGGGAAATTTTGTTATGCGCGTCCATAAGTTTTATAAATAAAAAATGTATCTGTGATTGTAATAAAATTTTTGAGGAAAACAAGAGAGGCGGCGGATTTAGCATCCCTGTCGATCCATCTATCCTTCTCACCTTGAAAACGTTTTTTCACTTTTTATTCGAGAGCACGATTTCTTGTATCGCGTACAGAAAAAGCATTACATAAAAAATACGCCTTACATCTACGGAACTTTAATACTCGTAATGACCTCCAGATTGGAAGATGCGCAGTAATACTTTTTGTGGGAAGCTACTTGTTAAGGATTTACAGCTTTTGGCAAACGGATACAAAATAGCTAATGGTGCTGGAAACGGTGACGCGTCTCGCTCGCCGATGCGAAGTGCCGCGCGACATCCGTCGCGCGAATGTCCCGCGGCTTGTTTATTTTGTCCCATGTACATATATATCATTTTCTCATGTATAATATATATATATATTTATACTTTATATTTATATGTAATTCATTGACTTACATGCTAATAAGTACTATGGTATTTGGCAAATTCTCTGTCTTACGTAAAAAAGCTATCTGCACGGAAAGCGTGTTTCGCGAGCGTGAGGAAGCGCGCCAACTACCGACGTATCAACAGGTGCGATGATACAGTGCCCGACGGGAGCATTCTCGCTGCTAGTTCTAGATTTCCTACACTCTGTTCTTACCCGTCCCTCTTCAGCTCTATACAGTGCGACAATCGCTTTACAAAATTAACGATCAGCCATAATCAATTAAAAATTTAATTTTTAATTTCGGTGATAACTAAATTCTTTTCCAATTCTAGAAACGGTCGTCCGCTCGAATTGCATTCGAAGCTGACCGACGTTCGTAAAATTTTTCACTGGGACTCGTAGAGCGCCTGAGCAAAAAATTTTTGAATTCTCTGAATCTTGTATCAATGTGCCTGACCGAACGACACCCGTTACAATGTTGTTCCGTCTCGGGAGGATGAGTCGCCCACCGGTTCTTCGCGAGGACACGCCCTCCGTGCTCGTGCACGTTTCTCTAAACCTACCAAAACTCTCCTAAGATTTATCTTCGATACGTCTTATAATTAAGAAAAAACGTTTACAAGCATTTACAAAAACTTATCACATTTTAACTGCGTTTCTTTCTGCAAAAGCCATCTTAGACATTAGGGGGCAAGAGCGGTACGTTTCTTTTACTCGCTACATTCGGATATATTAATTATATGGCAGCTTTTTCTGATGTCACACCCTCGCGGTTTACTAGCCGAAAACCCGACTGGGCAAGTCCCGTGTATCTGCAAGACTTAACACTTGTCACCGCAAATATCGTTTCTTTCGTCTTTCTTTTTTTATTACACTATACATATTCAGAGATATTTAGTGTCGAAGTAACACATTCAAATTTTGAATCAGAAATCTATCCCAATTCGCGCTAACAATTCTTGCACACATCTCGATACCGCTCTGTGTTGCGAGTAAAATTTTCCAACTTTCTGTCGTCTGTATGAACCGCAATTGATCACCGTAATCATAGTGACTTCTGCAATGTCAATACAAATACACAGTGTGTCGCAAGAGCCGCTCTATGCTTATCTTACTCGTCTTCTCAACTTCTAATCTAAAGAATAAAAAAAATTTCTTATCCTAACGTAAAAGTAAAAATTTCACTAACGGTAAAAATAATAAAAAGCAAAATGCAAAATAAAAAGGACGAGCTGCTCTTACGTCTTATCGACGAGGTAACTAGGACGTTAAAACGTAGACATTAAAATATCACGATTAAAGAAAAAGAAGGTAATTGAGAGCTCTTCTCACTCGAGGTAATACAAAGTAAAGATATAAATGTACAAGATGGTATATGATTATCTAAATGTATGAAGAACGAACGAACTCGCTACAAGGATATGCGAGATTTAAGTAGTAATTCACTCATAACTATAGTGGCCACACGCATGATCGTAAGACTCGACAAAGAACACGCGCGTATTAAACAATACGCGATCGGCGAATGAACGGTGAAAAGGGTGCAACTCGACATTGATCTTCGGCTACTTGAACGACAGTCGGTTACGATTTCGTTCGGATTGACATGTAAAAGAATCAGTCTTTGAATCAAAAACAGAATCGCGGGAAGGATTGAACATTACGATCACGGGGTCGGGAATTTGTGAGAATAAAAGCGCGTCAAATACAATATCGCGTGTGTATATGAAAGCTACCTACCGTTTACGTTTTTCGATTAACAATCGGTCCTAATCGAAAGACGTGAAGAAGGATGAGGGATGAGGTATGAGCGTGCGGGATGAGAGATAAAAGATTGCGCAGGGTGTATGTACAGTTCGGAGGTTGCCGCAAAAATCGCGCACCTTGTTTAGAAGAGGAGAAAGAGAGTTTCTCTGTTGGCGCCTCGAGGAATATGTGAAAGCAACGCTCGCATTCCTAAACATTCCGAAAATGGAAGACGGACCTTGCGGAGATCTCCCCAAGGTGCTTCTGAACAATTTTTTTACTAGCGCCAAATGGATATGACATAGCCAGCGGCGTCAAATAAAATTCGGTCGCGCTAAAATATAACTACCAAATAAAAAAAGAACGTACTAAAAACAAATACAACAATCGGTGGCTGAAAAAAAAACCGACACGTGACATTCGAGAAAACGTCGAAAACCGAATGAGGTCGAATATAAATTTTGCTCTCCATTTTCATCTCGTCCAGGAATACCTCGATTCTTTCACTGCTACTAAAATGTCGATATGTCTCTCGTCAAGCTCCCTGACAGATTTTGAAAGAACTCTATGACTCGAACGCACTCTTTCTCTCCAATATTCATTCAAGTATTAAAAAGAAAACTCGACTCACAATGACGGCGAATCGGAGCTACCTGGATGTTACGAGCGTTGCATTTTCGCGTGACTATACTCCTCAAGTGCAATCTTCTTGCCGAACGAACACAAGGTTATTCTTCTCTCCTTTCTGCCTTCACGCGCAACAGAGTACGACTTTCCGCGCGGGCTTCTTGGAGCCGCGCGCGACAAAGGACGCGGATACACTACCCAGCGTACTAGACTGTGATAATCTAAAGGGTGCCTCGAAGCGTTCATCTAAATTGATCAGTTGACCTCTACCAATTGCACGACGAATTTTTGTACATTCTTGCCAGCTTCTTCTTCTTCTTCTTCTCGCGCAAGCGATCTACCTACTCCTCATTTCCCTGCATTTATACGTTACTATTATATCCGTAGTTTTCCTCCTAAGAGCATCTACCGAGTAAGCTGTCGCTCACCCCGTACTTCTCGTTCTCGCGAGCCATCGATTATCCGCGCTCCTTCGCATGCTTCGGCGAGTACACTGACGGGGTAAAAAGAGTTCAAGACTGCTTTTTATGCTCAAGGGACAAACCTTCCAAACGTGACATATTCGTCGATAAAAACTACCCTGGATCGATCGTTTTGATGTTACTTTCAAGCGACAGTGAGAGGAGCTAGTAAAATATTCTGATCGAATCGCTTTTCACTTCGCGTGCGCGTATCTTAATAAATGTTTCAGCGGAGAGCGGCGCGGCCAGAGGATATGTCAGGTTTTTCCAAGTTTGCTCCTTCTTTAAGCTTACCTTACACGCGAAATCAGACGTGCGGTGAGAACTTTGCGGCAAAGTAATAGGCGAAGGATAAGTTCGCCAATGGCGGGAAGCGCTTTCGGGGGATTCTACGAGGGAGTTGTAGGCGGCAAGTGTATCGCAGTACACGAGGTAAGAGGTTTCGAAAGGGAAGAAAGGCAGGTCGGCGTGCGACCGTGGAACCGCGCACGTTTTCAGGGCGCAAAACGAAAAGCAGAGGACACGGGCGGAGACTCGGCGAGGCAGCGACCGCGCGTGGTGGCCGCGTCCGGAAGAAAATTCCGCCGAGGCGCGGATCGCTGGATCCCTCGTCCACCCGTGAGCGAGCACGCGAACGTACGATGATCCCGTCCCCCTTTTCGTTTCTTCTGTTTTTTTTTCCGTTTCCTTATCTTGGTTTTTTGTTTTCGAGAACACTTTTCAGCCGGAAACCGCGCTGCGTTTCCGGGACGATTTACAATCTAGTACGCCGGAAGAATATCTAGACGGCCGAGTCCTTGCCGACGAAGCCGGTCTTGGAGACGGACGTCTTGCCGTCGAAGGTGACGGAGGTCTCCCGGCGCAGCCCGGAATCGATGATCGGCGTGATCTTCTTCTCCTCCTTCAGCGGCTCCTTCTCGTCTCTGCAAAAGCATCAAGATAGCATTTGTCGTGGGAGGCCGTGAATCCCCGACGTCGGATTAACTTCTAATACCGGGCAGGAAAAAAAAATAGGAAAAAGAAAGGAGAGAGCATGTCCACATATGCGGCGCGTGGTGCGACATCGAGTATACATCGTCAGGCATGCTGTCACACGCAAGAGAAAGAGTCGTCGTAGCGAGAGAGATTCCGGAGAAGCGTATCTCTCTTTCTATATGGCCACTTTTGGTATCGATAAGTCCCGAGAGGACCCGCGCTTGTTACGATTCTTGGAGCCTCGTGGCTGTTCCAAGCGTGATGAAACAGCATTCGATTTTCTGAGCGTGCGCATGCACGAAGTACACGGGAGAATGGAAAAGGATTTGCACCGTCTATTTTTTTTTTAAATAAATTCACTGTAAATACTCAAATAATTACGCTACGTTTCTTAAACTCGAACGAGAGCTTTTTCAATTCTAAAACCGTCTCACTTGTATCGATGCATACACGGAGAGAATTTTCTTTTACAATTTACCTTGAAAATAATGTAATCGTGGGACAACATGGCATTTTGAAGTACTTTATAAGAGTTTTTTGAAATTTTACCATACAATTTGCTAGTAAAATGTATACCAAGTATGATTACTAGTAAAATGTATGGTAAAATTTCAAAAAGCTCAAAATTCGTTAAAATGCCATGTTGCCCCACGATTACATAATTTTCAGGATAAATTTTAAGAGAAAATTCTCTCCGTGTAGAGGAAAATCCTCTATTATGAGATAGGCTCCTAATATGAGACAGCGGTTTCGACTAAATTAATAGACATTATCCGTTGACTCCACCGCGAATTTATTGTCCTTGGAGTGAAGTCTGTTTAGAGGAAAATTCATTGTTCGTGTAATCATTGTGAGAAAAGATTTGACTGCATTTGGATGTTGGAAACCTGCTGTCTCATGTTAGAAGCTTATCCCGGGACTTTCTTCTATAGATATATTTTTTTGTAATTTTGTACACGATATTTTTTGAGAACAGCGAATTGAACGGAAACAGTACTTACATTTTCCTTATTTTCAGAGATAAGGAGCTTTCAAAGTGTTTAGATAATTTAGCTACTCCAAGATAATTCGAAGAGAAAATGTATGGAATCCAATGCATACAAAGTTCTTTGTTTTTTAATAACTGTGCAAATCTATTTTCGTCGGGATCCGAAAAATTTTACATTTCTATTTTTCCATTTATGCGCACGACTAAAAATTTCCTTATCTCTTTATCAACTTACACCACTTCCGCTCAAAGTACATGAAATCGTAATAGCGTTCACTCGCAGTGCTATTTGCGCTTCGTAAAGCACGAAACTGGCAGGAGACGAGAAGAAGACTCGCATACTTGTTGCAAACATTGTGCGGTGACGGAGCGGACTGGAGAGAATTAAGGACAAAGTGAGCGTTATTTCAAAGTGTATCGTGCATGCGGCATGGCCAAAGCTCAAGCGCGTTGTAACGAAATAATATTAAAGCGTGTCCATTCGCAGGCGGCACTCGACAAGACGGTTCGTGTGCTTTCAATGTCGTTTTATAACAGTCCATTCGACGAGCAAATTACGAGTCATAAACAAGAAACTAAAGCGTTTCTCTTTTTCAAAATCTTTCCTCTCGCACGAAATATAAATACTCTTTTCATCTCTGTATTCACTGAAAGTCCCAACGATATGATTCTGATAAGTAATCAACGGTAATTCTTAAAAAAAATTTAATTCACCGCTTCTCTCTCTCAGGGTGTCCAGCAAACTCAATGAAAAAAAATGCCCTGACTTTTTCAGGTTTTCCGGGGGCCGGAATTAATTTTTCCCCGACCGCTTAGTGTAACTTTTTTCAAGATGCATAATTTGCGTGCATCTGTATGGTAAATCGAGTAAATGTTAAATGACGAAGTCCTTGAAATATTGTTCTCGGGGAAACCGAAGTTCGAAATTTAAAAAGATAAAAATTTTAATTAAAGCAATTATACCATCTATGTATAATACACTGTGTAATAGGAACGAACGTATCATTGCAAACCATTCGAACCATTTGTGATACCGTACGTAATCGTATATGATGCTTTCGTTTTGCTTAACTGCATTTTGTTTGCAACTTACTAGATAGTGACTTACTTAGATAGTACTGTTTAGTAATTCGTCTTTTTTTATAGTTTTGTCTCAGTTGAACACATTGAAATAAAATAACACGACGATGAAAATATAAATTACCGACCACGCTTATATAAATTGATGTTTAGCAAAACAGAAAATCAGTGTACTGAGAGCCAAAGAAGAGTTTATTTTCCAAAAACTTTAAATTATTCAGAAAAAATGTGAAGCTATGTAAAAAATCCAGATAAATAGTAAAATTTCCCGACTCTTCCCTGACATTTCCAGATTTACAAAATTCCCTGACATACCCGGTTTCCCAGGTTTCCCTGACCACTGGACACCTTGCTCTCTTCTTTATAAACGGGCGCTTTCGCGTTCCGCTAAAAAATGCGAGGGACAAAATATACGCGGATCCATTGTATTATACGCTACGCGGTCCGGTCGAAATTATCCATAATCCGTCCTACGGACGTTGAAAGAGATATAATGCGCCATTGCCTATGCGTAGCCACGAGTGGACACGGATGCCGGCGCAACGTAAAAGTGTACATAAAAAAGAAACGCGTGTAGCAGCACGAGGAATGGTTGGCGGCAACAATGAATGCGTGTCCAACGGGTCGGACGTATCTTCTTCCATGCTCATCGAACTCTATCGGCGACCACCCTTGCGGGACGGTTCATCCCCGAACGCCGCCGGACGTGGCCAGCGGCGGGCGCATCGCCGTCGCTCGGGGAAGTCAGGCAAGGAAAGTACGAAGAAAAGAAAAAGAGAGAAAGAGGAGAGACGAGTCTCGGAGAACTTGGGAAGGAAAGAGAAAAACGGTGGAGGAAAAGAAGAAGTACAGAAGAAATCATGCAAAGTGGAAAGCCGTGTCGGAGCCCCCTCGTGAGGGGGCCATGCTTCTTACTGATTTCGCTTATACATCGTTTTCTCTCTTACATTGCAGTGTGTTTGACCAATCTAATGGTATTTTTTCCACTACCCGAGTCTTGGATGGCCGTGACCCCGGCGACATTGGCCATTTTTTGGTCGCAATACGGCAATGGAAACCGCCAACCGTAAAGACTACCGGTAAAGAAACAAAAGAGAGAAATACGAGAGGTGTCAAGGTGTTGTCTCTGTGTCTGCCGGCGGGCTATAGTCTCTAACATTTAGTATCGCGACTCTACCACCGTCATCGTATCGTCCTTTCCGCGATTACACGCGAGGGCGAGGGCGCGAGCGCTCGCGGAGGATATCGCGCGGGCCGTACCGGGAGTGATCCCGGCACGCTCGCGTTTCTAAAACAAATTTAAAGGAACAAGTAATGCGAGCGCGACGGCCGAGAGTGAGAGTGAGAGAGAATAAAGAACGGAAGGGAACGGGAAGAAACCGTTCCGAACGAAAGTTCAATGACGGGTGCAAAGTTCGATAACATGATAAAGTAGCGCTAGACTTGCCAAAGCACAATGTAGAATACATATGTAATAGTATAAACGAGTAATGCGGTAGACTGTAGAAGTATATCCAAAGAAAGACTATCTCATAATACACGTATCATATATTCAGAGTACCGTTGGGCCGCGGGTCTACGAGTGTTCAGCGAGAGACTCACCTGCCGAGCTTCGTCTCCTCCTCGTCGACTGGTTTCCGCCGGGATCGTTCGCGCACGTAGTTGATGATTCCTACAACAGAAAAGGTAGACGGGCATTAGCGCGGCGAAGTGTTGCCGACAATCAAAACGGAGGCGAGCGCGCGCGACACTTTAATATCGGTAGATTTACCGGGACGATGCTAATTGTCGCGCTAAATTTTGAACGTCGCTCGCTCGCGATGCATTTTCGGCGTTGCTGAAAAGCTTCCACCCCCCTGTGCAAATGTCAAAATTACGTAAAATTTGCAGTCGAGCCCCGAAATAGAAATTTCGAAATCGAGCAACATAGCCGCAATGAGCAATAAACCGGGGCTTCATTATTGGGACAGACGTGATTGGCAGAATTAACGCGTGACGAACGCAATTAACAATAATGCGAGTGCGCGAATTGAACTTGGACATTTCCTATTATGCCGTACGTGTACAACGCGAGGAAATGTTGTCGGTGATCTGCTCAAGCAGCGCTTGATGATTTAACGCCGGGCTCACCTGTCTTACGCACGCAGCAGCAGATGGCATCGATGATGACGAAGACGACGAATATTATCGCGAGGACAATGCCGATTATGGCTCCGCTCGATATCAACGGGCCTTGATGCTGCAGCACGCTGGTATCTACACCTTGAAAGACGATAAAGAGAACATCGTTCTTAAACATGTCCATCGTGGTGGGCGCGCATATGTATATTTATCGCAAGTCCGTTAGTGCAAAAGCGATACTGAACGATGTTTGGTGATGGTTAACAATCGCATTGTACTCGAACGCGCGCTCGGTGATACGCGCGTCGTGGAAGCGGGACAGGGTGCGATAAGGACATGCTTGAGAAAACGTACTGGTACGTCTGGTTTTTTTTTCTCTCCGATCCAATGGAGTCGCTGTTGCCCGGACGAATTGTCAAGTGAGTCGGCGATTAGCGTGAGATTATCGGTCAATTGTACGACGTAATGGCTGCAATTTTGTGGCAAATCATGCGGCACAATCCGCTGTTTAGGCTCGAAATACGCGCGATTATAGCTAAAACTGCGGATAATTAATTTAAAATAATTATTGCTACGTTAATGAACTAGTAGATGTTAAACAGTGTTATTAACCGTATTAGCGGCTGCATTATTAATGTTAAACTCATCGTGAATATTATTGGATGAACATGTAATACGGCGTTGAACGCGGAGGTAGAATTCTCTCACGTCGATACCGTTAATTAAGAGAATTACTTCTCGAGCGGCGGCCGCGGTGTCGCATCACCAAACACGTTCTACGTACAACGATATTTTAGTCTCCTGAAAAGAAACGAGATCTCGGCGGGATTGTGTGAGGGCGGGGGAGAGATGCGGCAAAAATCCGTCTTTATCAAAGAAGGAAACCAAAAACCAGAGGGCAACAACGGCAAGACATACAAGTGGTGATTTGTCAGTTAAGGAGACACAGAGTGTGTATGCGTGTGTGTGTGTGTGTGTGTGTGTGTATATGAGTGTGCAAATGAGTGTTGCGTACGTGTGTTTCTTTTTGTGTGCACGTGTGCGTTACACGCCGGTTAATGGATCGCGATAATTAGCGCACTGCAGAGCGTGCAAGCGATAAGAGAAGAGTCTCGGGTCTCGCAACACCACATCACATCGCAGAACACGAGCCGTGCTAAAAAGCTCAAGGGAGAAGGGAGGGGAGAGGGGGAAAAAAGCTCATTCACTAGCCTCCCACAACCGATGTTAGTCTCTACGCGTCACTAGTCTAAAAGTGCTACCTCCACACAAAAAGCCCCTCCACTGTGAGTGCCTCGCATTTAGTTCTGGTCTCGCATTCGCTCGTTCTCTGTCACTCAGCCTTTCTCTCTCTCTCTCTCGCACTCCCTCCCACATTCTCTCGCTGCCAATCCTTAACAGAGCTCTCAACTACGTTAGTTAGCGGCCACATCTTGCACTTGCATCTTGTACTTTAAGGGGATATTTACCGTTTTCGGCGGCGCGCGTCGCTTCCCGTGGTTTATTTATTTTTATCAGAATTACAAAGTAAAGAGGCGATGTGTGTAATAAGCGAAAAAATAAACAAGACCGCCGAAAAAGAAACCATCTCAAATTGCAAACGCGCGGCCAGAGGGGCCTCTTTCTCTCTGTGTCTCTCTCTCTCTCTCTTTTTCTCGGCTAATTCCCGGTCGAATGATCCCGTTCCTCCTTCCGTTCTCCGTCGTTCCGTTCGAAGGCTCGGCAAATCGGACAATTTTGACACGGGATACAATTTGAAGGTGGCTTCTCCGCTGGCTCGGATTCGTCCATCCGTTTTGTTCTTTCTTTTTCTCCTTAGACACTCACATATATTTTTTTTCTCTTATACGTCGTTCCGTTGTATTTACAATATATTGAATGTTTTCGCACAGGAAAGAACGAGTTATACGAGTTTATCCTCCTCATAAATACGAACATAGTAGGCACTAGGCTAGTACATATCCTTAGACGTATGTAAATGTTTTATCTACCTATCTATCTATGTATATCCTTTATATATATACGTTTTGTACATATACGTGTATATCGTATAATACGTGTAACGTGTGTGTACGTGTACGTGTGCCTGTGTTGATCTGTACTGTGTAAATATATAACCATCGGAAGTTACGAGCGGAGTCCACGGTACCGTGATAAAAAGAAAATTAAGAAAAGAAAGAGCAAGGGGATCGCTGCGCGCGATCATCGAGTGTCTCGTAAAAGCAACCCGGAGCGGCCAACCGAACCGGCCGCGTCGAAATTCGATTTCGCATTCCGCTCTATTTTCGGTCCGTGTCGTAACGTGCCCTAGCACCGGAGTCGGCGCGATTGTTTCTTTAAACAGTCCCGCGCACCTCCCTAAAAGTATAAACCCCCCAGCGGCACGCGTGTCCCTTCCTCCCCCTCCCCCCACTTCGCCTGGAAAAAAAGAACCGGATTACGAAACAACGGCGCGACGAGAAGAAAATTAAAAAGCGCGCGTTTTTATTAACGCTCCGGTTTCCGCTTAAGCGTCTTCTCTCTCCGGCGCAGCAGTGATTCTGTCTGTTAGGGATCGTGTTTAACGCGCCGGAAAATCTCTGAAACCTTATTATGATTAAACAAGATGACAATAGAAAAAACTAAAAGGGCCACAAAAAGGCGCGCCGATGCATCGGCGGAAGGCTTTTCCGAATACTGGCGGCCGTTTATTATTAGCCGAGCCGCGATTTTGCACGTGAGCCTTCAGGCGTTCATTCCGCATCTTTTTATGAAATATCAATCATTTATCAATCAATATTCCAATATTAAATGAATCATTACGCCCGACCACCGAGAGATCGATAAAATCGCGCGGTTTAGCGAATTCAATTTCACGCGAGTGTCCACGTGTCGTTTCTTGTCGAACAATATTTCAATCGCGCGTGCATGTCGCGAAATAGAACGGCGACAGAAAATTTGAACAATTACAGAAGGATTTGTAGAGTGATTTATAGCGAATTCGGTTGTCTGCACTAGGGCGCACCGAGTGCACACCGAGGCTTGTTTACGGTCAATTCTTATGTTTAAGGATAGTCTTGAATATCCCTTGAAATATTTCGCAGTCAGTAAAATGATCTGCATAGCGTCCATGTAGATCATTTTTTGATAAAATACTTTTTGAACATGTATTTAAGACAAAGTTAAATATAAAAATCGACTGTAAACAAGCGTTGTTTACAGCCGATTCTTATATTTAATACTTGAAATAAGTAGTCAGTAAAATAATCTGTATAGCTTCCACGCGAACCTTTTTTTGGCTGAACACTTTTTGAACATGTATTTAAGACAAAGTTAAATATAAGAATTGACTATAAACAGGCCTTAGTGTGCACTCAGTGCGCACTAGGGCAGGCAATCGAGTTCGCCATTGGTTTCGCTTCCCTGCACCGAGAGGACTGGAAGCGCTTCCGTTTCATCGCGCGGACTCGAGGAGCCGGCGCTGCGAAATCGCGCGAAAAAGCATCGTGCATGCCCATCGGAAATAGATCGCGAGGAGTATCGCGCTCGTGTACTTCTACGTTTCTCGCCCTCCCGCCGTTCCAGTCCTCCAAGTTCATCCTCTCGACGCGGCTCCTCTTTAACGCGACGGCTATTTATAAGCGACGCGGTGGCCGGCGCCGCCGCAGCAGCTTCCACGAACGGATTCGCATTCGCGAGCACGGAGACCTATTCGGCTCTCTTCTGCGTTTCCTTGTTTCTATCTCCCCCAGAAAGTCGCGCGGGTGCTCGAGGATGGACCCGGCCGCATCAGCCAGCGCAAACACACGGCTCTCCTCCTCTCGAGCGATCCATTTGTACGCGCGCGGAGAGAGATTATCTCCGTAACGAGAAACACTCCAGCTGCTGCTGCTGCTGCTGCTGCTGGGAAACTTCTTGCTCGAACATAGACACGTCCAGATTCTGTGTATATTCGACGTGTATTATTTCGGCGTCTCTCGGGGAAACGTTTTGGGAAACGCGGTGGTGCCTGTACCGCAACATTGAAAGCATCTAGGGAGTAACAATCGTGGCGCGAGAGTACAACAAAGAAAGACGAGTGCTGGCGGCTCGGACGAGTTAAAGTGAAGAAATTTCGCGGAGGCTCCTTGGACCGAGATAGAAAAAACAATCGTCGGTTCTATTAATAAGAAAAATTGTTATTTGTCCGATTTCTCACGAATCGCTTAATTCGCCCGACTAGACAAGCGTTTACTTCCCGCCGGATAAAATCCCATATAATCGCACAATCGCCCTACAAAGCGAGTCAATCGGAATAATCCCGCATTCCCTGCTAATTGATTCCGTCCGCAATCGCGTCCTCGAGATGATGATGCCCGGGTGCTCGAAGCGTCCGGGTGAAAGCAAACGCCCGGCGCAAACAATGAGTCGTCGTCGCCGAATGGAGCATTTATACGCTCGCAATTTATCCGGACGCGGCGACGGGGTACCGTGCGCGGCTCGCGCGCGGGGGAGGATCGATCCCCGAGCACAAAACACAAAGCCGCCTTGATTTCCCGGCAGAGACAATTCCGGGGCTACGCCGGCAAGAATCGAGGATCGATTGATCCTGCCGGATTGTTCGGAGGGGCTGCTCTCTCGCGTGCGCGCGCTCTGCTCTGAGGCTCTCCGCAAACACGTCTCTCCGCCGCGTAGGGAAAGGAGCGAGCCGTGTACGCACGCTCGCGTAATTAGTCCGCGCGAATCGCGACACGTCGAACAACGTCGCGCATAAAGAGCCGTTTGTTCGCGGAGCTTTCACGCATCCCCGCACCCCCGCGCCACTTTAACGTTAAATCGCCGTCTGCTTCTGAATCACTGTATCCTCTCGGCAGGGGGGGAGGAAGCTTCAACAATGGCCCGTACTCTCGTTGCGAATTTGCCGCTGAATTTCACCGTCTGAGCCTAATATTACATTTGTTGTACGGCAAATGTAATATTAGCATAATTTTCACATCCACGAAGAACATCGTTATCGCAAACAAGTCGAAATCGAGAGACGACGCTCGTAAGAGATAAAAATGAAGCTCGTGGGCGTAGGGTAATTAATTCACCCCTAAACACGGCCAAATACAGGCGACGGACTTCGCGATAAAGCCTGAACACAGAAAGATTGTCGTAATTGTTTACGATTCCGTCGTAAG